GTGGACTGCCTCGCTGGTGGCCTGGACGACGAGGAGGCGGCGTGCCGGCCGGCCCCCCCCGCCTTGCCTGCAGCCGTCTCCTCTCGGCAGGCGAGCTCCGCTCGAGATGCGAGGGCAGCGGCTCGGGGGAGAAAAAGATACGGATACGTGTTGTCCCCCCTCGTTTTCGGCCTTTCCTGGTCCTCCTGGGGAATCCTCGTTGTCACCGCTGGATTCGCCTCGAAATTCTGGTCAGAACGCACCCCAAGAGAGGTCCGGGGACAACACGTATCCGTATCTTTCCGCCCCCCCAGCGGCCATCAGGCAGTGGCGAGGCGCCCTGGCGTGCCTATGGTCCTACCAAGCGATGCTCTGAGAGCCTGTTGTGGTTTCCACGGCATGTTCTCAGAACCTTTCTGGTTGATGCTGTCTTGTTTTAACACATCGGCTCATGTTCTATAAGATCCTTGTTTTTGTGCTCCGAACTTTTTGTTGGGGTTCTGAGTGCACTTCGTGGTAGGACCATAGGAATGCCGGGACGGTCGGCTCCTGCTCAAGGCTGGGGCCAGCAGGAGCGTCTCGGCTGCCTCGCCACGGACCTCCGACCAGACTTTTGGCCCTGCCCGCGGGGTGGCCCGCCCGACACGCCGTACGGGTGCGGCGCCACGTCTGCGACGGCCGCCGGATGGTGCATCTGCACAGGCGGAGCCCGCTTCGGACCCCTAGCGTTATGTCGGGCGTGTCCCCCTACAGGGGGATGTTCGACGAAAAATCAAATACCCCCCAAAATAATCAAAACATAGTCCAAAAATAGTCTGGGGACTATTTTGTTTGGATTTTTTGGCCTTTTTGGGATATGAATGAGGTATTTCCCTTGTAGGGGGACACAGGCCCGACTTAACCCTGGCGAGCACCACGAGGCACCTGCAGTGCAGATCTTCCCCCCTCGACGGCATCAAACTCCACAAGTGCTTTTGTGGACCAGACGACAGTACCAGGACGTACCCCGCTCACTGAGCACAGCCTTCGTCGACGAGAGCAAGTCCATGGCCCCGCGGACACGGAGCTACCTACAAACGTCACTCGACGAAACCGTCCTTTTGACATAATGCCGGGCCACCATATCCACCCTGGCAAGGTGGTCGTCCGGGCCGTGGGTGAAGAGTTCAACCGCTAGGTGGCCGTCTCCTGCTATATGGGCAAGCCCACCACCAGGTGAAGCTCGTAGGGAGCTATGTCAACGCAGCATCCGTGGCGGACGACGCCGGGCTGGGCCTGGCGGCCACCGCTGAAGGGTGCGACGGGCTATCACCAGACTCCCACGTTTTGGACGGTTCCCCGAAGGCACCCGGGCGGTCAGGTCCCGCGTCACCAGCATGTGCACCATTGGCACCGACATACAAGTTCCCAGCCAGAGAGCCAGAAACCTCTACGTAGAGCGACATTGCCTTCGCGGCCATTCGGCCCAACGGAAGATCCTGCATGTCACGCTGGGCTCTCTACGCCGTCGTCGTCCCTGGGCACGCTATCGAGCTTGGTGATATAGCGCAAAGGGAACTTTTACTCGGACTCAGAAGACAGGTGTGGATAAACACCACTCTCAACACCATAGATAAACAGCTCCGAGCCCTTCCGCACGCCTTCCGAGGAGGAGGCCCAGTGGGTCGAGCGCGGAAGGCCGCTGCCCAAGTCGACTGGAGCTGGCTCACCTACGGCACGGTGAGCGACGACTGGGGCACCCCCCCCGTCATGGGTCCACCTGCGAGGAGGGATGTTCACACATATGCTCCGCGCGTCACAGAGAAGGTCCTTCTTGCGACGCATCCCAACCACCAGACACGACCCTGGGGACTCTGGCTGCGCACAGCTTGGGAGCTCGGTCTCCGCACCCATCGCCTCTACGCGGGTGGCCGCAACCGGAGAAAAGTCGAGGCTAGCACATCGGCCGGCCCAACCCTGCTGTGCAGATGGTGCAATCAAAAGGAAGGCAATTCTGTGTACGCCGTCTGCAGATGCCGATTCTGGAAGTCCGAGAGGGCGGCTCTGAAGACTATGGCCCCCGATCAGCAAAATGGCGTGACCTCCCGCCGCGCAGAGCAGACGCTGCGGCCGTATTGGAGGAAGACCCCCAGCTCTTTGGATCTCCAGGCCGCCCTCGCCGAGGGCGCGCTCCCGCAGCCCCTTCCGCGGCCGACGCCAGAGGGCCCTGCAAGCGACCCCTCCTCCTCCACCTCCTCCACCTCCTCCTCCTCCTCCTCCTCCTCCCCCCAACATCTCTGCAGAACTTGAGCGTTCAGCCAAGATGGTTGCGCAGGCTCCAAGCGTCTGGGGGGAGCGCTTCGCTCGGGTTTTTTTCCCTGACCCAGGCTTGTGCGCGTCTTGGCCGGAGTTTGACCAACAGTGGGCGCTGCGAGGAACGGGGATTGATCTTCCTCTTCTTCTGGAGGGCGGGTTCGTCTTCACAGACGGTTCCGGCTTGAATGGCATGTTCCCCACGCTGCGATCTTTTGGTTGGGCCTGTGTTTTCTACTCGGCTGACCGAGTCTTCTTGGGAGCGATCTACGGGGTCGTTCCTCCGGAATTCTCGGTATCATTTTCGGCCCGAGACGGGGAATCTTGTTCTGTCCTCACGCTGTCGCTCCATGCGTTTGGGTCGTTCAGCGTCTTTTCAGATTGCAAAGCCACGCTATCGTGTTGCACCTGTCAGCAGAAGGCCACGTCCGTGGCCAACCCTCGAGCCCACATATGGCGAAGAGTTCACTCGCGCGAAGACTTTGCTCAGCGGAGGTTTGAGCATGTAAAAAGTCATTGCAGCATGAGACATGTCCGAGACGGGATTTTGTCTCAGTTCGAGCTCGAGGGCAATCAGAAAGCTGACCACTAGGCCAAGCTGGGTGCCAGCCATGGTGCTGAAGCGGAGTCTGATGTGCTGTTTGTCGAAGGCTGCTTGGAAGTGGCTCGCCAAGCGTGCAGATTTGGAGCCAGAGTGGCCACCAGGATGGTTGATCTGGGACTCCAGGACCATCAGGGTCTCGACGCGATTCGTTGGATCGACTTGGGCACCATTGCTGATAGCTTCTCGGCTTTTTGTATCGACGAGGCCTACCGTATTGACGCCGAGGCCTCACCCGATCCCCCTGGTCCCTCTTCCTCTCCTCCTGCTGACCCGCCTGCTGCTTCTGCTGCTGCTCCGGGGAGCCGGGTGGAGGCTGAGGGTCAGGGGGCTGCTGAGGACGTCGACGCCGAGGTTTTGGAGGACGAAGGTTTTGGTATGGGGGAGCTCAGGCCCTGGCGCGTCCTGGACCACGCAGTGTTGGAAGCTGGGGTCCCAGGTACAGAGCCGCTTTTTTTTCGCACGTCTTGCTACCATTCCGCAGCTGCCACGAAGCAGAGGGGCCTGTGCAAGCCTTGCAAAGGTCGCCGGCGGCTGAAAGGAGGCTCGCTGTACACGGTTCGGAAGCGCCTCAGAGACAGGATCCATCCGTCGGATTTTTCTGTGGCGCTGGATGAGCCCAAGACCCCCTCCGAGGCCACCCGTGCTCGATGGTCCGGGCATTTCGGAGTGGACATGGAGGGGCCAGGTAGCAGCCCCTGTCGACTGCCCCCATTTTCGCGGCCAGAGGCCACCTCGCGTCTCGACTTCCAGGCTTGTTTGAAAGCTTTTGGTTTCGAGGATCGTACCCAAGCAGAAGCCCTGGGAACCAGAGTCGTGCTGGCCAGAGCCGAGGCCGCGTCCGACGAAGTCGTCGGCTAAGTGACGGGGGTGGGGTCGTCCGGTCGGGGGCCCGCTGCGGGGGATGGAACCTCGCCGCGGGCCTGACAAAGATCCCCTCGGATGGGCGACCCCACCCAATTTTCCTCTCTCCCCCCGGACCTCTCCCTCTATGGGCAGTGAACCTCCTCCTCCCCCTCCCCCTCCCCCTCCCCCTCCCCCTCATCCTCCTCCTCCTCCTCCTCCTCCTCCTCCTCCTCCTCCTCCTCCTCCCCCTCCTCCCCCTCCTCCTCCTCACGCCGACGAGCACGGGGGCCGATGGGCCTGCGCTGCCATCGATGGAGCCGGCTCCCACCATTCCCGCCCCCGCTCCTCGCCAGGGCGGGTGCAGGTGTGCACTGCGGCCCTGACCATCGCCTCAACCACTCTGGCTGACCCTCCTCCTCCTCCTCCTCCTCCTCCTCTTCCTCCTCCTCCACCGTCCTCCTCCTCCTTTCTCTTTCTCCTCCTCCTCCTCCTCCTCCTCACCCTCGCTACTATCTCCCTCACCTCCTCCTCCTCCTCCTCCTCCTCCTCCTCCTCCTCCGCCTTCCTCTTCCTCCTCCTCCTCCTCCTCCTTTACCACTCCTCCTCCTCCTCCTCCTCCTCCTCCTCCTCCTCCTCCTCCTCCTCCTCCTCCTCCTCCCCCTCCCCCGGTCCCCCTAATACCCTCCTCCTCCACCTCCTCCCCTCCTCCTCCACCTCTCCTCCCACCCCTCCTCCTCCTCCTCATCCTCATCCTCATCCTCATCCTCTTCCTCCTCCTCCCCCTCCTCCTCCTCCTCCTCCTCCTCCTCCTCCTCCTTGGTCTCTCAGGCGTCGGAGGACGAGTGGTTGAGCCGAGACATTCGCCATGCTGTATCTCGTCGCCACGGCTGAGCGGCCCGCTGACTTTCGCGTTGGCAAGCAAGCTGTCGTCGACGGGTTCGAAGACACCCTCAGCAGTAAACCACCGCCTCGCCTGGGCGCTCAGGCTGGCTGCTGGCTTACGATCCACCGGTTCTGTCAGGCCAAACCAGACGTGTTGAGAACCCTGAAGGTCGAAAGTCCTGTGGGCGAGCAGGGCATAAACGAGGAGCGTATCGCGCCAGTCGCCGGGGCTTTCATCACCACGCTGATGACTTCGCCACTGCCGGCGCACGCCTCCACAGCCTACGACAGAACCTCGCCGACGCCGCCAAGTGGCGACATCAATGCACGACCGTTCTGCACAGCGCGGCTGTCGCCAATTACGCCCGACGTCACCAGGCGCTTCGCTTGCACGACAGAGAGGAGGGCTACTCTACGTCGGCACTCAGCAAGATGAAGCCAAACCTGTTCACCACAGGACAAGGCGGGCACGAGCCACCAGATTCATCAGGCGGCCCCGACCAAACCGACGATCCACCATGACACGACCACTTCGATCACCTCGATGATCCTTGGTCGGGCTGCTTGACGACTTCGACGGAGAGAAGAGCGACCCGCTCGGGCTAGGCGCCTCGATGAATGACAAGTGGCGACGATTGTCAAGTGTTCCCCACAGTTATTCAGCAGAGACGGCCTCAGCAACCGCGATGACCTGCACGACGCGAGCCAGGCGGCCGGTCTGAGCAAGCCGCTCACGGTCGACAAGACCAGGCCGCCGTCCCCAGGCCCCACCACCACCAATCCAGCTCCTCCTCCCACCACCAACCCAGCTCCTCCCGCCACGGACCGCCGCTGGCACAGGGCTCGGCATTCCCAGCATTCAACGGCCTGACCTCTGGCATTCCCTCACGCAGCACCTCTCCGCGGCATGTCGGCAGCCTGATAGTGACCGCGAGTCGGTTCCCATCGCGAGTGGCAACGCGTGGCGCCATCGAGCCAAGCGCCTCGCCCATTCTCTCTAGGTGCGGCCAGGAACAGTCCGTTCCTCTGCTGGACAGGTTCCACCGAGCACGAGCTTTCTGGGACGGCCTCCAGCAGGCCCTCAGACCTGCGTCCTCCGTTGGGGCGGGCCTCCAGGATCATTTCCAGGCTCTCTCTGCTGCTCAGCGCGCGGCATACCAGTGCTGGCGCCCCTCCCTTCCCATTGGGCTCCGTGAAGTGTTGGCTCCTGCTCCGCTGCCCTCCTCCCGGGCCGCCACGGGGGATGCCCCGGGGCGGCGCCGCCACGGTCAGGGCGCCGTGTGACGTACGCCAAAGCGTGTGGGCAGCGGGCGTCTTTCTGTTTGCGGGCGTGCAGAACGGGGCGAGGCTCGTCCTTCTCGCCACGCCCCCCTCTGCTTTCCAGTCGGGGCCCCCAACGACCGCGCCAGGGGGCAGGGTAGTCTCCCCACCCCTGATCGCACACACGGCACCTCCCGCCACATGAAGTTGGCGCGGAGGGCGCTAGCAGCCCTCGCGCCCGACGGGCTCCGGCCCGCCGAACTGTCGCGCTCTCTCTCTCTCTCTCTGTTTTTCTTCTCGTCTCTCTCTGTCTCTCTTTTATCTTTCTTTGTGTTGTTCTCTCTCTCTCTCTCTTTTTCTCCCTTCCCCATAGATGTGTATATATATAGTCCCCAATTTCCCTCTTTTTCCTCTCCCAATCACCGTTTCTCAACCTCTCCTCTTCCCTTCCTCCCCTCCTCCGCTCCTGCTCTCCTTCCGCTCTCCCCTCGTCCCTTGCCCTCCTCCCTCTCCCGCGCCTGTCCCATCCCCCTGCCATCCACTTCCGCTCGCTTCTCTGCTCTTTCGCACTTTGCCCTTGCATCCGGGGGGGGGGGAGTGGGGAGATGCGAGGCGGAGCAGCATGTGGCGCCGTCCCTGGATCGCCGCCTGAGGAAGCTGAAGGAGGACCCGGCGTCGTCTTTGGAAGGGGAATGGGGCGGAGGAAGAGGGGCGGACGGACCCGTGAAACAGGCGCCTTCCGCACGATTCTCGGTTTCCCCCTTGCTTCCAATTGCGCACGATTTCTCCTTCGCGGAATTCGGGAGCTGAGTGCTTGTTTTGTGCCCTCTGTTGGGTCTCCTATGGCAGGGGGAGGCGGAGGATGGAATCAGAGGTGGGGGCGAGGCGAAGGGACGAGGGGGGGGAGGTGGAGGCGGACGTTGGTGGGGAGCGGGAGCCGGCGGCAGGAACACGCCGCAAGCCTGCCCGAGGCGGAGCGGTCGGCGGTTCTCGCCACCGCGTGGCGCCGCGCCCAGCGCACCCAGACCCCCGACGTAATGATTTTTTCATTACGTCGACCCCCAGAGGTCCCGACCCTTTCCTCATGACCGGCTTTGCATCCTGAGTCGTTTTTTGACGCTCCCGAGGTCCGGTGAGGGCCCCCGGAGGCCGAAAATGAAGGAGAACCTCCCGTCATGATTTTTTCACTACTCGAGGGGGTCTGCGCACGCTGGTCGTCGGCAGCGCGGGGACGATCCGCAGCGCCCGCGGAGCGCCCCAATGGGGGGGGCCGCAGGGCGCCCGCGCAGCGCGGCTTTCCCGCGGCAGCTGCCGCATGGGTCGGGCGGCGACGGCGCCCTTCGCGGCGGCAGCCCACGACCAGGCCCACCGCCAGCGCGACCACCCACTCCTCCTCCTCCTCCTCCTCCTCCTCCTCTCCTCCTCCTCCTCCTCCTCCTCCTCCCTCCTCCTCCTCCTCCTCCTCCTCCTCCTCCTCCTCCTCCTCCGCGGGCGACGGCGCCCTTCGCGGCGGCGGCCCACGGCCATGCCCACCGCCAGCGCGCCCGGCGGCGGACTCCCAGAACCCGGCCACCAACCACCTCGACCACCCCAGACCCCCTCGAGTAATGAAAAAATCACGACGGGAGGTTTTTCGCTATTTTCGGCCTCCGGGGGCCCTCGCCGGGCCTCGGGAGCGCCAAAAAACGACTCAGGACGAGAAACCGGTCCCGGGGAATGGGTCGGGACCTCTGGGGGTCGACGTCATGAAAAAATCATGACGTCGGGGGTCTGGGAACCCGGCCACCACCTCGACCACCCCTGAGATCCTGGCGCTGCATTGTTTTCACACCGGGCGTTTTCGCGCAGTTTCGGGCCCCGCGACCCTCGCAGATCGACCCGGCTCGAGGCCTCATGCAAAAGATGGGGTCTGGGGCTCCGGTGGTGATTGTTCGCGATGTTTCAGTTCCTTTTTGCAGCATCGGACCTCAGGGACCAGGACCATTACGACCACAGCGTCCACCACGGCTGCCGCGACGCCTGGCCTGGCCGCTGCGCGACCACCCGTGGCACGGCCACCGCCTCGACCACCACGACCATCACGACCACCGGGGCCACCACGACGACCCCAACCGGAGCGCCAACCACCACGGCACCTACCGCGACGTCCACGACGGCCACGGATGACGACGCCCCGATGACCGCCCCACGCCCCCCGCCTCTTCCCCCCCTTCGCCGGGCCCTCCTTGCATGTTGCTTGCCATTAGTGTCTGCCACTCTCTCCCTCGGGTCTCCTTCCTTTCTTCCCCCCCAGGGGCGGCAGGTTAACTGTGCCGTTCGACCCTTTCGAGATCTGGGGCGTTTCGCCCGCAGACTCGTGGAGGTTTTTGACCGTTGTTATGCTTGTGACCACACACGCCGAGCCCTGGTGGACACGCGCCTCAAAACTGGGTGCGTGCCGGGGCTGCGGAATTTGCGAGGGAGGGAGGGAGGTTGGGAGGGAGGAGGAGGGAGCGATGTCGAGAGGGAGCAGTCACTGGATATTTGTTCAGAAGTAGAGACCACATGAGAAGCTGTAGCCCACACCGTCAGAGGAGACTTGGAAAGGTGTGGACTCGGGAGGGATCACCAGGAGTGCACATGCCGCCCGACATCGCGCGATGTTGAGAGATCTTGCCATCTATGCTGGGTTTGCTCTGGTCCCCGTCGTGCTCGGCCCCCTTTGACCTTCCGCTTCTGATCCTCGTCCTCGTGGCCTTCGTCGTCTTCGTAAGCATCCTCTCCTCGTTCTCCTCAGCCCCCCCTCGCTCGACTCAGCACTGGCGTTCTTTAACGTAGCGGTCGAGATGCAGTTGTTTTTGCGTGTGTGTTGTCCTGCGCAACGGGGGGTGGATTTGCTGCCTTTTGATTCCGCAAGGAGGTCAACAGTGTGCGGGGGCCTCAGCTTGCGCCCAATACGTCATGATTGATCAGCGTTGTCTGCTCGTGCATGCGTTCCGGGGCACGATGTCGTTTCAATCCATACCGCACTGGCTGGCCGCTGCCATCCTCCACGTGCACGCACGTGCTTGCAGCGAGTGTTCTGCTTGCCTGACTCTGCGATCCTCGTGAATGGGAGGGGTCCGCAGGGAATGCCGACAACTTTCTTTCAAGCCAAGACTTGACATCAACATTCGGGAGACGTCAGCGCTCACAGGAAGCAGGCCAGTCACGAGTGCCCCGCAGTGAAGCTGGCAGGGGCCAGCCGCACAGATCTGGCACATCCCCGTAGCTTTCTCCATCTCTCTTTCTCTTTCTCTCTCTCTCTCTCTCTCGCTTTCTCTCCCGAGTTGTCCTTATTTGTTTCGTTGTGTTGGCTTCCCATATCGCACAATCACTCGTTCTCTTTTGTTTGTTTGTTCTCTCTCTCTCTCTGTCTCCCTCTCTCTCTCACTCAGTGACTATATATATGTATAATATATATATAAATATGCATATGTGTGTGTGGTCCCTCTCTCTGTCTGTCTCTGTATGTGGATATGTGTGTATGTGTCTTCTTCTTCTCTCTCTCTCTCTCTCCCCCTTTCTTACGTTCTTTATTTATTTCTCTCTTCATCTCTCTGTCTTCCTCTTTCCCTCGCTCTTTGTAACTATATATTTATTCATCTGCATGTTTCTATATCTATACGTGTGTATATACATATATATATATATGTATCCCTCAACCTTGCACGCACGAGCTATCCCTTATTACTAAGGGAGTGGGTTTGTCGGTCGGTTTGGTGGCTATGTTGCCGCCGTCGCCGCCCCGTCGCCGCCCCGTCGCCGCCCGTCATCTGGGCATGCCTGTCGGTCTGGCCCGCTATGTTGCCGCCGTCGCCACCGCATCGCCGCTTCGCTTCGTCGCCGCCCGTCGTCTGAGTCAGTATGTCGGTCTGGCGGCTATGTTGCCGCCGTCGCCGCCGCGTCACCACCTCATATTGCACAGCATATTTACATACATACATATACACATATATATATATATGTATATATAAATCACCGCCGCATACATTGCACCACTTGGGCTGCACCGCAATGGTATCACACAAGTTGCACCACATAGCTTGCACAGCATCGATTGCACCGCGCAGATTGCACCACATAGCTCGCACACCATACATTGCACTACACAGAGCGCACAACTTAGATTGTGCCGCGTAGATTGCATCACATAGATTGCAACACACATCTTGCACAGCATGTGGTGCACGATATAAGCTGCACCACTTTTCGGCTGCATTACATCGCGTGCACAGCATAGACTAGACTGCGTATGATGAACCACATTGGTTGCACTACATATACTGCACCACGTGGACTGCAACACATCGATTGCACCGCATAGGTTGCATCACCTAGATTGCACCATGTACATTGCCCCTCTGCGCCACATTGTTTGCACATTATACATTGAAACGCATCTATTGCACCACGTGGGTTGCACAACACATATGGCACTACATAGGGTGCACACCATATGTTGCACCACAGCGGTTCGCTATTCTCAAAAGTAGTTCGGATCTACCATCACCACCCCCGCCCCATCCCCCGAAGGCCCGCGCGCGCGTCTTGTCTTCCCGCACCGCTTCTCCCCTTCTCGTTTGCACTCCTCGTCTCGCACGGCGCCCCCACTTGCGTTCCCTTCTTCACAAAGAGCGTTTGTGACATTCGGAGTGGCAACGTTTGCAATAACGCGAAAGCAACACGTGTCCAACGAGTAGCGCATTTTCTAGCATGTTGGATTCCAGGCAGTTCTATGCCATTGAAATTCAGTTTGGAATAGGCGCCCTACTTGAGCCCTAGGTGCTCATGCAGTCTCGTCGACTCTCCCGTATCGGTGCAGCGCGCTGCCTCCGCACTCGCAGACGGCTCCGTAGCGGCCCTCCAGATCCAAAGCAGCACTGCAGAGCTCTCACGGTTTGGTTCGTGCAAGTGGCCCCTCTCCCTCTCTATCACTCTCTCGCTTCATCCTCGTCCATGTCCGTGTCCCACCTTCCGCTTGCCAGTTGCGCTCTTCCATGTATGTTTCATGCTCCTTCCTCCGAGGCACTTCCTCTCGGATCGGCCTCCGAGGTCCAGGACTCTCGCTGAGAACCTTCACCACGTCGTCGAGGCGAGTGTCGGCACGGCCGTTGCGACGTATCTGGAGCCTGGTAGTCGTCGTCGTCGTCGTCGTCGTCGTCGTCGTCGTCGTCGTCGTCGTCGTCGTCAATGTCGCCGTTGCAGTCGACGTCGCTAAGGAGGAGCTGGAGAAGGAGGAGCACGAGGAGGAGGAGGAGGAGGAGGAGGGCGACGAAGCGGAGGAAGAGGATGAGGAGGAGGGGGAGGAGGAGGAGCAGCAGGAAGAGGATCGAGGAACATCGAGGATAATCGAGGAGGAAGAGGAGGAGAAGGAGGAAGAGGAGGAGGAGCACGACGAGGAGGATGAGGAGGAGGAGGAGGAGGAGGATCGGATGCCGCCGGCAGAAGCAGGCCCAGGCGAGCCTCTCCAGCGGCCCACGCGCGCAGGCCTCTTGCTGCTCTGCGGCCAGCCGTGCGCGCCCCTCTCCGACCGCACGGGGCTGCACACCGAAGCTGCGCCACAAGGGCGCCCTCGAGGGCGCGAAGTTATTCGCGCTTCGCGCCTCGCGTTGCGGCTCCGATTCTTCCTGATCCTCCTCTTCTCATTTGGGAGGCGGCGCGAGAGCGCGAAGTTATTCGCGCAGCGCGCAGCGCGCAGCGCGAAGCGCGAAGTTGGGAGCCCTTGCGCCACATCATCCCCGCGAGCGGCGCGGGGGACAGGGAAGCAGCTTGCGGTGTTCCTGCGTCGGACGTTCCCGCCGGGCGGCCAGCGCCGGGAACTGCCAGGGGAGGTTTTGGATGGGAATGCTGTGCTCCTCCTCCTCCTCCTCCTCCTCCTCCTCCTCCTCCTCCTCCTCCTCCCTCTCCTCCCCCGCTCGTCCTCGTCGGCGGATTCACGGAGTTGATCAAAACTCCTTTCAACGCTTGGTGCGCGCCAGGTCGTCTTCGGAACGCCACCGGCCCGCGTGTCGCCTGCGCTCTCGCGGGTGTTGGCTGCATGCATCATATGCGGTAGGTTTGCGTCGTGTCGACCAGCGGCGACCCCAGCGCGGGCGTTCAAGGTTGAACGCCGCCGGCGACCCAGAATCGATCGATGTTGAACGATCGGACGTTGCGCCAGCAGCCAATCGTTCAAGGTTGAACGATCCAGCGCGGTGTCGGGAACCAACGCTGGGGTCGGCACGACACGAACCTGCCGTACTTGAATGCCCGAGGTTTGTGGAGCTTGGTATTTTCCTCCCCCATCTTTCCAGTTCGTTTATTGTATACCGACCAGAGGTAAGTGGTTTGGAGCCACGAGGGTAAAACGGTGCACGGTATGTCGTTGTGTGCCCATCTCCGCGGATGTGCTCGTCTCGGTGATGTTATGTTTTCATGTGTGGCTTCATGCATCTCATGCTGTTCGCGATCGGCCCCGATCGAATAGGATCGCCGTCGCACAGGCGCGACTGCAGCAGGCAGTCCGCAGGAAGTCAGGTCTTGTGGAGCTGCGCGGCTGCCCGCCTCGCCCGGGCGCGTGGGGATGGAGGGATCCTGCCGGGCAGTGACTTCGGGTCGGGTCGGCCTAATTCCCTTCCTTCCCCAGCCCAGTGCACTCCTCCTCTTCTTCCTCCTCCTTTTCCGCTTCCTCCTCCTCCTCCTGCTCCTCCTCCTCCTCCTCCTCCTCTGGCGTCCCCGACGGGCGGCTAGTGCAACCTCGTCCCCTCCGACCCCCTGCGGCATGCGCTCCCCATGCCCCCCCCGCTGGCCTGCGAGGAAGAGGTGGGGAGGTGGTTAAGCTCGCCCTCCCGCGTGCGGCCCTGCACTCGAAGGCAGCCGATGCGGAGCTTTCTCGAGAATGCAGCCGATGTTTGAGCTTTAGTTGCGGGTGGGCGTCCCCGATGAGCAGCTCGCCAGTAGGCCACAGGCTTTCGCAGGGTGGGGGGGTGGGGGGCCGCGAGCAGGGCTGGCTGCGCACAAGCGAGGACGGGGTACGTTTAGAGGCTTCCCGGGGGAGCCGCCGCACCAAGCCCGAAAGAGTCCATCTTGCGGAACACTGCGATAGCATGCTCGCTTCCCGCTCAGGGGTGCCCCCTAACCCAGATTCGATCGGCTCTGGAACCGACAGCGGGCATGGGGTGAGGAGGGGGTGATCGACAGCGAGGCGGTCCTCGATGGAGGAAGATCGACAGGTCCTCCGTGCTCGGCACCGCGACACCGCGGCTATACGTCACCCCCCGGTTTCGGTCGCAACAGTTTCACAGATGGAGGGGGGTGGTTTTCAAAATGTGGCTCCCGCCGTGTTAGACATGTTCAAGAGCTTCACGGATGGAGGGCGGGTCGTTTTCAGCATGTGGTTCTCGCCTCAGCGCCGCGTACATGAGTTTTGAATGTGTGCAAGAGTTTCACGGATGGAGGACGGGTGGTTGTCAAAATGTGGTTCTCTCTTTAGCGCCACGCACGTTCGCTTTCAAACTTTGCAAGAGCTTCACAGATGGAGGGCGCGTCGTTTTCAACATGTGGTTCTCGCTTTTGCGCCGCGCACAATCGTATTAAAATGTTGCAAGGGTTTCGCAAGCGGTGGGCGGGTGGTTTTCAAAATGTTGCTTTCGCCTTCGCGCCACGCACATTTTTTTCAAAAAATGCAAAGACTGTACGGATCGAGGGCGGTTCGTTCTCAAAGGTGGCTATCGCCGTAGCGCCGCGCACATTCGTTTAAACCATGTACAGGGTTTTCACATGTTCTCCTGGTTTGCGTGCCAGAGCGTTTTTTGTTGAATGGCTCATGCGTGTCAGGGCGCAAGGGTTACGTTGATTCGCGGTGTTGAAGTCCCAGGAATGGTGCCTGGCACGATCAGGATCGCCAAGACGCACCAGTCAGGTCAAATCGTGGCGTCGAAGAGTCCTGAGACTGGTGTTTCGGCACGCTTCCGGACTTTCACACGGATGCCCCCCCAAGGGCTCAATTCCCTCAGTGGAAATGAACCCTTGTAGGGGCCTGCGAAGAGGGATGTCGTCCTCCTCCTCCTCCTCCTCCTCCTCCTCCTCCCTTCTCCTCCTCCTCCTCCTCCTCGTCCTTTTCCTCCCTCCTCCTCCTCCTCCTTCTTTTCCTCTTTTTTTCCTCCTCCTCCTCCTCCTCCTCGTTTTTATCCTCCTCGTTTTTCTCCTCTCCCTCCTCCTCCTCCTCCTCCTCCTCCTCCTCCTCCTCGACCCCGCCCGCGCGCGGTGGCACGAACGGCCGCCCCCTCCCCCTGCCCGCCGCAGGAGGAGCACGGCGCCCCCCCCCGCGCCCCGGCCGCCCTCCCGGAGGGCCCGGGGCCCCTGCCAGGCGCTGCCGCCCGCCCGCCCGCCGCCCGCGGGGGGAGCCCGCCGCCCTGCCGCCCGCTCGCCCGGCTGCCGCTGGCGCTGCCGCTCGCCGCCCGCCCGCTGCCGCCGCCCCCCGCCGCCCTTGAGATCCTGGTGTGGCAGATTTTTCTTGCGCCGGGCGTTCTCGATAGGCCTCTATCTACATAGAGATATATAGATATATACATTTAAATTATATATATAGAGAGATCTAGATAGACTGGCAGTATAATATATATATATATAATATATATACATTACATACATACTATATATATATATATATATATATTATATATATATATATATTTTATGTATGTATAGTTATATGGATATGTATGCCTATACATATATATATATGTATATATATAATTCCATTTCGGGCCCCGGGGCCCTCGCAGATCGAGCCGGCTCGAAGATGGCGCGGAAGGAGGGGGTCCGGGGCTCGGGTCGTGCTTTTTCGGGAGGTTGCAAGTTTTGAGCAGCGTTGGATCTCAGGGGGCGCCGATGCCCTCCGAGACATGATCGCGTCGTGGAACAATCAGGACGGAGGGTTGTCTCAGTTTTCGGCCTCTGGGGGCCTTCGCCGGGCCCTGGGCCTGTCAAGAAACGACTCGGGCTGAAGAGCTCGCCCCTGGGAAGGGGTCGGGACTTTCCGGGGGTCGGGCGGTAATGGCGGGTGACCCACATGGGGGTGAAGAAGAAGGCCCTGAAGGGGCCCTTCAGTCCCATAAGGGGGGCCAGCGAAAAGGGGGTTGTGCAATAGATTTGGTGCAATCGAGTTGCGGGGTTGCAGCAGATGTGGGGTGTGCAATACATTCCGGTGCGCAAGTGTATCGTTGGATTTTCGCGTGCAGTGCACTAGTTGCAATGCAATGCAATGCAAGTCTACGGCGCAATACATTTGCGATACACTTGCCCCAAGTCTGGAGGAGGAGGAAGAGGGGGAGGAGGAGGAGGAGGAGGAGGAGGAGGAGGAGGAGGAGGAGGAGGAGGAGGAAGGGGAGGAGGAGGAGCACCACCCCGTTTTCAGCCAGACCCCCTTTTGGAGTCACGAGGATCACAGGGCCCCTTTGGGGCACCAGCTGTCTCCAAAAGGAGCCCTACGGGGCCCCTTTCGGGCTCTTTAGGTTCTGCCCAATGGCCACCCGCCCGACGGCCGCGCACTGAAAACATCAGGACGCCGCCATGCCAGGGCTGCCCCTTGTTTTTGTGCCTTGGCCGCCTGCCGGCGGCGCGCCGCGCGGGGAGGTCCAACGTGCTCCCTCGTCCTCGGCTCCCTGGAGGTTCTCCAGCCTCGCGGTGCTCTCTGGCAGCTGCGCCTCGCCGAGAGTTCCTGGGGTGCCCGGATGGTGCCCAGGGTTATGATGTGCCAACCTACTTTAGCCTCGACCGCCAGCAAGAACCTCGAACACCAAGAAGGTACCGAAGCTGGGGGGTTTTCACGGGTCGGACTCGGGGAGGTCGTTCGACACTGTTTCGATATTGTTCTGGGTGCTCGAAACTACTTCTGTCGGGGGAGCGTAAGACCCGGGTTTGCCAGGACTCGGGTTCGCCATCGTTTTTTGACGACCGCGCCTCGGATTTTGACGAGGAGGAGTTTCGTGGGATGTCTGCAGCGGGAGGCCTCGTCAAAATGCAGGCTCGGCCTCGTCATTTTTTTGACGACCTCGTCGGGGATTTCCGAGTCCCCTGTACCCAGGTCTTACGTCCCCCTGATTCTGAGAGGTGGTCCTTCAGCACGATGGGAGCAGCAGAAGCCCAGGGTCCCGAGGCGTGCCCCGAAACAGCGAGACCTCGGCGGCGCGCCGAGGGGGCTACTACTACTACTACTACTACTACTACTACTACTACTACTACTACTACTACTACTACTACTACTATTACTACTACTACTACTTACTACTACTTACTACTACTACTAACTACTACTACTACTACCTACTACTACTACTACTACTACGACTCCTACTACTACTACAAATACTACTGCTAAGTCCAAGGGGGCGGGTCTTCTCGGAAGGCGCCTGGGCTCCCCAAAGGCCCTCCGGCCTTCGGAGAAGCCCCTCCCCAGACCCCCCTCGAGTAACGAACAAATCGTGACGGGAGGTCTTCCTCATCTTCGGCCTCTGGGGGCCCTTGCTCGGGGCCAACTCGGGATGAAAGACCGGTTTCCGGGGAATGGGTCGAGATCTCTGGGGGTCGGCGTCATGAAAGATCGTGACGTCGGGGGTCTGGGTCTGGAGGCCCTCTGGGCCTCTTGAAGAGGCCCGCCCTCTCTGTCTTCGGCCCTGGGTGCGCCGCCGAGGTTTCGCCTCCTTGGTGGGCCCATCTCGTTTTATCCTCTGGCGACGGCGGGCGATTCCGGGGAGGGGGGGAGGGGAAGGGGGGAGCGCGCTGGTGACGTCACCATCTGCGCCGGCGCCGCCTGGGAGCCCAGCGGTTCCCAGACGGCGTCGGCGCGGATCGTGACGTTCTCAGGGGCAGGGGGGATGGGCGACCCTGGTGACATGCTTTATCGCGTAAATTTGTATCACATGATGTTATGTGAGTTTGTTTCGACCAGTCGTTGGTCCCCAGCTCCTCTCATTGCACGCTGCGCCTCAACGAGTTCTCCCTTCTCCTACTTATCATCTTCCTTCGTCTTCCTCCCCCCTCCCCCTCTTGTCCCAACTGCATTGTCAATCGATTGTTCAGGCCACGGATGGTAGCATTGTGCAGGTGCCTATTGCAGGTCGGTGTTTGCGGTGCTCTTTTTTTGTTGGAAGACGTCCTTTTAATTCGCAATGCGGTTATGTAGCCCATGGAGTTTTGCGTTGTAGGTTATACACAGACGTACAGGTATGCATACATGCATGCAAGACGCACATGCGTACACACCTACACACGCACCCATACACACCTCCATACATCCATACATACATGCATGCATACATGTATGCATACAACCATACAGCTATACATGCATACATACATCCGTAGATGAATGCATACATGCACGCATGCATGCATTCATACATGCAGACATACCTACATATCTACACACCCACACACCAACATACCTACAAACATTCATACCCACGCACATGCATACCTAGACACCTACCGATCGACGTACCTACATACATACACACTTACATACTTACACACATACATACACACATACATGTACATACATATATATATACATATTTAGACATGTATATGCATACAGGCATACACATAAGCATACACACACGCATACATGCATGCGTAAACGCACGCTCTACTACACACATGCATACACACAGACATACATATTTACATCTATACATACATACATGCATATACACGTCCATACGTATACATATATATATATATATATATATATATATATATATATGGTCGCCCCCCCCCCCCACCACCCCCCAACCCACCAAAACCGCAACTCCAATATTGATCGTCTCCTCCTCCTCCTCCTCCTTCCTTTTCAGGGAGAGGTTGATTGCCAGGTGTTGGCCCACAGACCCTGTGAAAACATCGATAATCCAGATACTGTTGAAGGTTTTGGTAAGGACACCCGGTGAAAAACACAGATAATCCAGATACTGTTACAGGTTTTTGTAAGGAAACCTTGTGAAAACACAGATAATCCTGATAATTCTCGTTTTTTTGACGACGGGCGTCCCTCCCCCTGCTCCGTCACAGCTCCACGCCCCCCCCCCCCAGTGACAATGCGCCAGGCAAGAACACTTGTGACAAACTCAGGTATTTCTGATATTTGGACAACTCTTCGTAAGGAAACCTTGTGAAAAAAAACACAGATAACCCAGATAACGTTGAAGGTTTTGGTAAGGAAACCCGGTGAAAACACAGATAACCAAAATAATGTTACAGGTTTTGGTATTGAAACCTTATGAAAACATAGATAATCCTGACATGTTCAAGTTTTCGAGATATGGGCGCGCTGCAACAAGGCTGGGGGGCGCAGGAGGAGGAGGAGGAGGAGGGACGCCCGTCTTCAAAAGCCAAGAATGGTCAGGATTATCTGTGTTTTCGCAGGGTTTCCTTACCAAAACCTTTAAACTGATCTGGGTTATCTGTGTTTTCATAGGGTTTCCTTACCAAAACCTTCAACATTACCTGGGTTATCTGTGTTTTCAAAGGGTTTCCTTGCCTAAACCTGCAAGCATATTAGGAGTAGCTGTGTTCCCACAGGGTTTCCTTCAGAAAACAGCCCGTTGTAAGGCTGCTGCTGATGCTGCTGATGGTGCTGCTGCTGGTGTTCCTCCCCCTCCTCCTCCTCCTCCTACTCATCCTCCTCCCCCATCCTCCTCCTCCTCCTCCTCCTCCTCCTCCTCCTCCTTCTCCTCCTCCTCCTCCTCATCCTCCTCCTCGCCCACTTCACCATGCCATGTGAAAACACATGTATTCCATACATATATATATATATATATATATTGTGTTTTCTTTTCTGGCGACGGGCACCCCTCCTCCTCCTGCTCCCCCAACCTCCTTGTAGCGCGTCGGTCTCCAGAAAACATTAAAATACATGGAATACCTGTGTTTTCACATGGATTCCTTACCACCACCTTCAAACATATCTGGAATACATGTGTTTTCACCATGTACATATATCGGATGCATTTGTTTCAGGGTTTGCTTACCAAAACCTTCAAACAGATTTGGAATAGCTGTGTTTTCACCAGGTTTCCTTACCAGAACCTTCAAACACATATTGAATATCTGTGTTTTTACATGGTCCCCATAAGAAAGCATTGCCTTTAATGCTTTTAAGCAAGTAATCAGGTTGATCCTTTTGAGGAGCCACCACAAAAGGGAATCCTTTTGCGCGACCGCCTCAAAAGGACTCTTTTGGCAAGGCCGCCGCAAAAGGGAATATTTTTACAAATCCGCCACGAACGGAGGAGGAGTGATACGATGAGGAATGACAGAAACTTATCATGAAGGGGGAGGAAAACGAGGAAGAGGAGGAGGAGGAGG